TATGGGTGAGAAAAAGGGAAGTTCAGAGTGGGATCCTGCTGAACTACTTCCCCACCTCTTTAACTTTTTACTGTTAATTGTGTTTAGGTTTACAGAGCAAATCCGTTTTCCATCCAGCAATTCATACACATTTATTTCATGTCATTGATTGCAACCCCATAACTTAACATCACTGTTTCCATTCCTCTTTCCTAACCCTTCCTGCCTCCTGAACTTGTCCTTGGGCAAGGGAAGCCCTTTTGATCTTGAGGAGTTGACAGTTCTATGGAGCGCTGCTTACCTTGCTGGTGTTCTAGTTCCCATTATAGATCTGTCTACTGTTTGGCTGAAAACTGAACCATGGGTGAATTCAGGTCTAGGCCTGAAGAGTCCTTTGAGGTTTAGGGGAGGCAAGAGGGACCTCATCTTCCTCCCCACATCCCCTAAGTCCTAATGTTGTCTGTCATCTGTGGACAACTCATCTCACCTTCTAGCAGAAAGAACTCTGGGAAGACACTGTTCTTTATCCTGTTGACCCCTCCAGGGACTTGAGAAACCAGCTCTGCAGGCTGGGGTCCCAGCAGCCTGGCCTCTGGGCACTCTACAGGCCCCAGGTACAGAGGAGTCCATTGTTGCCTACCCTGACTTCAATTCTCCTCTCTTTCTAAGCCCACAGTAGGATTGTATTTCTACATTCCCTTTAAAAAAGATCCTAGAATTTGCTTTGAATAATGAAATATAAACAAAACTGACATGTCACTCCCAGGTGGCAGAACTATAGACTCAGTGTGTAATTCTCCATTCTCTCTTCCCTAGAGACAATGACTCTGTGGGCCCATACTGATGTGGAGCCGTGAGATCAAAGCTGCCCAAATTCTGACCCGTCACCTGGAGAACTGTTGTCCTGGAAAGCCACCTGAAGCCCCAGAGTGTTGAACCACTGGTGGCTGGAGGTGGTTTGCTATTGCAGCATAACCAGCTTGTGCTTCCTCAGTCTCCAGTCATGGCTCAAGGGAGCCACATGATCAGAGGCAGGCCCACGTGTACCCTGAAGCCTAGAGAGCAAACCTAGGTCTCTGTGCCCGTGCTCCAGGGCGTGAAGGGGTTACTTAACTGCTTGGAAGATGAGTGCTCCACTCCGTCACGTCGACCACGGTGTCCACTCCTCTACAGCCCTGCATGAGGTGTGCCGCGGGTGCTCTGGGATGTGCAGTTGGAAATACTGTGAGAATGAAGGGACCCGGGGTGCTGAAGGGGTTGGCTGTGCAGAGAGGTATAGCACATACTTTAGCAAGAGCAGAAACAGAGAGCAGCATAGGGGATTGGGGAGCAGGCAGCCCCCAGGTCTGTCGGTGAGCCTTGTTTTTTAGGATGTGCTGAGCAAGCATCTGTCCCATTCAGTCCAAGAAGTGGGACTATGCAGGAAGGCAATGTCAGTGACGACCTGTCTGGCCAGTGAGCCCTTCACAGACCTCATCTCTTAGGCTCCCATCTCTGTTGGAAAGTACCCACAGAGTCCTCGCAGTAGCCACAAAAGCAGCCTCCTCATTCACCACCTGCCCCCTGGGCATGGAATTCCATCCAGCACTGAGCAAGTACTGGGGAAGATGTCTAGGCAATGATATCCCTCAGAGCCCAGGGAGAGCTGCTTCTCCCTTCTGAGAGGCCACCCGTCTTCCACTTGAGTTCTTGTCCTCTCAGGTGCCTGGGTCAGCATTTCTGATAGCTGGTCCCTGCGAGCTCCCAAGGGGAGTTTACTTGCTCATCACTGCATCCTGGTGTTGGGCCTGAGAGAAAGGCTGGTTCCTGCCGTATAGGCTTTCTGTGGCCACACACCTGGTGCTCACGGGAAGCCATGCCTTGTAGGGTTCTCTATGGGCACTGCCCTTGGGATCTTGGCCTCAGCAGCCACAGAACCTCTCCTTTGTCTAGACAACATCTAGCTCCAGGTGCATGGCCCATTTTCACTCTGGCCTCAGTTCCGGACTCTGATGTTCCCAAGCCCAGCTCAGGCTTAAGAGAGGAAGATGGCACCGATGCCCAGTTCCATGCTCAACTGTTGGTCCCAGTCTGTCCTTGCTCTGGCCCAAGTCTCAACAGTCGGGGCACCAAATGCAAACATGAGTCAGGGTCAAGGGCCAGGAGTTGTACTGACTTTTTCCACCATGGCTCTTCTCACTCGCCCACCTGTGGTTCCCACTCACTCTGGGCTGCAGGGGGCCCACACACCATCCTGTCACTACTGAGTCTACTGTGAGGTGCACTGTGGGGGTGCAGGGTGACCCAAGCCCTGGCTCTCAGCCACTCACCCCAGCAGGTCAAGGCCATAGAGTTCAGGGGAAACTGGGACAGGGCAAGACCCAAGCTGCTGATCAAGCCACTCAGGCTGAGAAACCCAGGTGGACGGAGGGACCACCAACCAGGTCTCCAGTGGCAGATGATAACCCCAACATCTATTCCCCCAACACATCCAACAGCCCTGGGAAGTCAGACCCCCGCCCCCTCACACCAACATCCAGGGGCTTGTTCGTTTTGTTTTCAAAATGAAAAAGGAAATATAACAGCTGGTACAAACAAGAATCTTATTCGTACTGACACCACTGAGGTTCCATTATTGCTTCAGACACACGTGGTCTGGCCAGAAAGGAGCGTGTACCTACACCGGCTCAAGGTGGAGTGTGGTTAACACCAGCGGTAGAGGGGCTCCCGCAAGGCTGACAGTGCCACCACAGCCACAATGACCCAGCTTTCCTGGTGCCCACACCTGAGCCCTCACCTGAGCCCTCACTGAGCCCCAGGAGGAGTGGGGTGAAGAACAGGAATCCCCATCCTGGGGCATGGATAGGGTTTCCTCCAGCTCCACCCACACCCATCGTGAATGTCAGCTTGTCAAGGTGTGACCTGACAGACAAGGGCTCGGCTGGCCAGGGCCCACCAGATCTTCTCCAGCTGCAAGCTGATGCCAGTGCTGGGGGCTGGGAGCCTGAGGGGGTGGTGCCCAGGCCTACAGCTCACTGGGGAAGGTGGACTTTTTTTTTTTTTTTGAAAAGCATGAGCCAGCTCTGAAAAGTTGCCAGGCACTGGGACCAAAGGTTACTAAATGCAAGGGGCCAGGGGAAGTAGGGGTCCTGATGACGTCAAGGAAGCCCAGAGATGAAGGTGTGGGAGAGATGCCAAGCAACAGTCAAGTGAGAACCTGAGAGGTCAGTCCTGGCCTCACAAGTCAGTCCTGGCCTCACAAGTAGGTAGAACCTGGCTGGAGCCATAGGAAGCTTCCTCTTCTGGAAGCTCCCAGCTTTCTCTCTTCAGGAGATGGCAGAGGCCCCAAGGGTGAGGTCTGTGACCTCTGGCTTCTACAACCCCAGCTAGAGCCCCCACCCAGGAAGTGCACAGCACAACTCCTTCCAAGTCTGGAGAACCAGAGTGGCACAGGTTGGATTATAAAGCCTCAAATCACTCAGGCACCTGCCACCTGCCCACATCTGTACAGAATAAAGTGCTTCATTTATTGATGAATTAAGATGTCCCCAGCCCCCTGCCCCAGCGCCGCAGGCCTCACAAGGAGGTGAGAGGAGCTCTGATCCCCTTAGCTCTCTGGCTGATGGGACGCAGGCCTCTCCATCCTCCAGCAGCCCCCTTGGGCTCATGCCCCTTCCTACTCCAGTCATGCTGGGAAGGTGGTGGTAGTGATGATGGGGTAGTAGTAGGGGTTTAAGGTGCAAAAGAGTATAACAAAACCATATAAACACAAGAGGAAAAAGCTTAACTAGGAAACATAGCTTCCTCATTTTAAAGGCAGGAATAAAGACGCTAAATGACAACAAAAAAGGTGCCCTATTAGTGCCCAGGCTCATGGGAGCAGGAACTGGATACAGGCCGGGGTCAATTGGCCACTGACAGCCCGACTCCAGGGGGCCTGAACATGCAGGTTCCTGTCACCACAGTGGCCCAGGAGGGACAAGGACGCTGGAGACCAACCATGAGTGGCTTGTGTGTTGAATCTCAGATGAGGATGAGGCCTAAGCTAGCCTCCTGGTGTAGAGACAGACACAAGCGCACACATGTCCTGGTGTGGGAGATATGGCCAGGGCCGCTGGTGAGGGGCAGGCCCCCGTGAACTGCAGCCCTGCTCCCGCTCCACTGTTAGCACCGTGAAACCCTGAACACCCCCCCTGCCGGAAGCCTACCCCAGGGTCCTGCACCTTCAGTCCAAGCCACTTCAAGGGCCCCAGAGCCTTAGGGCTGTGGGCAGCTTGACTACCACCCAGGGACTGGCCCACAGCACCCAGTGACTTCTAGGGATGTCTTCCCTAAGACTCAGGGTGCCCAGTGCAGCCTAGAATAGGTTGGGAATACCTCTGCTGGCTGGCAGAGTATGGGTGAGGAGAGCAAGTACCTGGGGTCCAGCCCCTGCCTGCCCACTCCATGTGTACAGAGCTAGGTCTGTGTTCTTCATGCCATGATACCGTACCCTACCCCAACAACCCATTCTCACATCCCTGCCTCAGTGTGGCAGCCCTCAGACCAGGTCCCCACCTCCTAGAGGGGCCAGCACTGCTGACAGTTTGTGAGACCATGTTAGGGATCGCAAGGCAGGTGAAGTCGGGGTACTACAATTGGCCTAGGCTTAGCTTAGCCAACACTCACCAGCTCAGGCTTCTGCAGGGTGACTGCCATACCTGCTGCCCAGGGGTCACCAGGGCCCCTCTGTCCCCCTGTACCTGCAGCCACAGCACCCCTCACCTGGAGGGGGGCTGCAAAGAGTTCCCTCTTTCTGTCCTTCACCACTTCAGAACAAGAAAAGGCTCTACAAGACACTCAAGAGGGCGACATCCTCCATCAGCTTGGAGACCCCAGCCTGCATAGCCCCTCGGCTAGGAGCTTCAAGCGAAGTATGTCTAGTCACCTCTGGGGGTGGAGGCAGGGGGTCCCTCTCCCAGGAAGGAGGGTCAGGGCAGCGATCCCCCTAGAAGTCTGCCCAGGCCCAGCTCAGGCTGAGCATTGGCTGTGTAGGCTGGCAGTTAGTTGTTGGCATTCATCCTGGCGGTGGTGGTGTTGGTGGTGGTAGGAAAGAGCGGGGGTGGGGGCGGTAGGGTCTGGGGAAGGCCTGGGAGCAGGGGCAGTGGTGTGTGGGCGTGAGACTGGGTGGGGGGCAGGCCCGGGGCTGAGGGCGTGCCTTCACTGCCCAGAGGGTGGCTGACTCTGAAGCATTTCTCCTTATGGGCCTTGAGCATATTGGAGAAACGGAAGCGTTGACCGCAGACGTCACAAGGATACGGCTTCTCGCCTGTGTGTGTGCGCCGGTGCCGCTTCATGTTGGGCCGGCTGGTGAAGCTCTTGCCGCAGATCTCACAGATGTACGGTTTCTCCCCTGGGAGGAAGGGCAACAGGGTGCGACCATGAGGGGCTCACCGTGTGACCCTCCCCACGCTCTGGGGTGCCAGCCTCACCCTACCAGAGGAGGCAGCAGAGCCTCATACTAAGGTAAATTGAGGCCGGAATTGAGAGGGGGCATGGCTAGGGCCGTCTTGGGCTGCCGCACCTGTGTGGGTCTTCATGTGCTCATCGAAGTACTGCTTCATGTTGAAGTCCTTGCCACACCACTGGCACATGAACTGCTTGTGGCCAATGTGGATGCTCATGTGGGAGCGCAGCTGGTACTTGTACTGGAAGCGCTCGTTGCAGTTCTGGGGACGGAGGGCGTGGAGTGAAGGGAGCAGGCCTCAGGCCGCACTGCAGGCCAACATGCTCCTGGGGTTGGGTCGTGCATGGGCAGAGGAAGAGGCAGGGCACACACACGGTTCAGGTGGACAATGGGGGTCAGAACAATGGGGGACGAGAACGCACAGCAGAGGGGACCTCATGCGTAAGACCTTTGCGTAAGACCCTTTACCCTCCCCAGTGCGGGAAGGCCACTTCAAGCCCATCTGTGTCTCCAGTCTCCACTCCACCTCTCCAGAGAGCCTGCCCCACTGTCCACCCATACACATCTCCCACCGTCAACATGCAAGGGGTAGGGTAGGGGCAGGCAGGCCACCAGGAAGGGCGGAGTGGGAGGGTGGCGGGGGGGGGGGTGTCACACCCCACACCTGTACTCCATCTTCCCCAAGCTGCTCTTGCCCCCTTGCTAGCCCCTCCCTGTGGTCCTGGGCAAATGTGGGGAAGTGGACTCACCTCACATCTGAAGGGCTTCTCCCCCGAATGCTGCAGTGAATGCACCTTGAGAGACATGCTGCGTTTGAAGGACTTCCCGCAGGTCTCACACGTGAAGGGCATGTCCTTGGTGTGGGCTATGGAGTGGGCACCATGGCCGTCACATCTGGGGGGGTCCCATAGCTCCTCACAGGAAACCCTTGCCTGATCACCCCTACACTGGGGACTGAACTCCACCTCCTGCAGCAGGTCCTACCCACCACCCTCAAGTCTCCTGGGCTTGATTCCTTGTCCATAAAAAAGAGTGAAGACTAGCAGTGCATCTCAAGGGTGGTTGGACTTTATAGAGATGGCAGTAGTAAAGGCTCAACCTTGGGCCCTAAGCTGCAGTCCAGAGGGAATCAGCCATGCCTCCCAGAACCCAGAAATAGGTAAGGACTGAAACTCTTCAAGGAAGATGTAGGAGGGGAAACTAGAAACAGGACCACCAGGAAGGAGCAGTAGCTCTGGGTTACCCAACAAGTTCCTGACCAAACCTAGAACCAGGGTTTCAGCTCTCAGTCTACTCCCTTGGAGGCTTCCCCAGGGCCCTCTAGTGGAGAAAAGGGTAGGGTCTGGCTACAACACACTTAATCATTAGTATAGGGAAAGGTGGAGTCCTGGTGTGGGTTAATGCGCCAGACTGCAAAGCCGTTTGAACTGCAATGTTGGCGGTTCAAGTTCACCAGCCACTCCTCGGAAACCCTATCCAGGGTCGCTATGGGTCGGAACCGACTCAATGGCACTTAACAACAACAACAACATAGGGAAAGGTGCTCCTGGTAGAACACACCACCTGGTTAGCAGCGTGCCAACTGAATACTGGTGTCAGCTCCCTTGAACACAGTAAGCAACCAGCCCAACTGTACACGGCAGCCTGGCCCCAGAGCTGGTCCAAGCCACACCTGCTGCAGCAGCCAGTCTCCGAAGGTCTCCCAGTCAGGAGGCGCTTCTCATCCAGTCACACCAGCTGTGTCCTCGGGCCCCACCTCCCAGTGGCCCAGACTTACCCACCATGTGTTTGCGCACGTGGGCCATGGTATAGAACTTCTTCTCGCAGATCTCACACGAGAACTTCTTTTCTGCGTAGCCATGCACAATCTTGTTATGTTCATGGAGGGACCAGAGCTTCTTGAAAGCTTTGCCACATGTCACACACTGTGGGGGGAGAGGGGGGGACGCTAGGCCCTTTATCCTGAGTCAGGACCCTGTGATCTTGGGCAGGGCTCTGGGCCTCAGCTTTCATCACCTGAAACATACAAGCATCAGCCAGCTCTGAAGTTCTGGGAGTTGGAGGCGTTAATTCCCTAAATATTTACAATGCATCCTGAGGCTTGAGCTCTTCTTCAGCCTTTGGAAGGTCAACCAGAGCCAGGGACCATCTCTTCCTGGAAGCCTCTCCTCCCAGGCCCCAGCCCCACCAAAATCATTTCAACGAAACTACCCAAAGGCTTCTACAGAAGGGGAGACAGATAACTGGCTTCAAGGAACAGGTATTACACAGTTGAGGCATTCTCTCTGCTGCATCTCCCTGCTGGGAACTTTGCCCTGACAATACACTTTGGAGGCACACAAGGGGACAGCTCCCAAGGAACTGGCTGGCTGAGATTTCAGGAGGGGCTGGGCCCCATCAGGCAATGGAAAGTCATGGGAAGTTCAGGAACCACACTCCCTTCCACTCCCCAGAGCATGGTCCAGTGTTCTTGGTTGTCTCCCATCCCTGCAGGACACCCCCAGGAGGCAAAAGATCAGGGGGCACAGATCAAAAGGGGCACAGCTTCTTTCCTATTCAGGAAAAAGGTTCAGGTGTTTGGCAGGTGGAGTAAGAAAAGGCAATCCAGCAGTAGGCAAATAGGAACAGGTGCAAGAGAGTAGGGCAGGTTACCAGGTAACCCCTGGATAAGACTTTCTCCACAGGGCACTGCAATTAGCAATTAACTCAGGCAATTAGCACCTGCCTACATGACCCCCTGTCTCTGGGGCCAGAAAAAATAAAACTTCCCCTGGGGAGCTTGGCTGGCTCTACAACACACTCACCCGCCCCCACCCTGAGAAGCCAGGCTAGCACAGACAGACTGAGATTGGTTCAAGGCCTGTCACCCAGCCCAGCTCTGCAGCTAGGCCCCAGGAGCCCTTGCTCCTCCCTCCCAAATTCCTCATCCCGTGTCTTTTCCCCAGGGCCAGCCTGCCTGCATGTCCAGAGCTAAGTGGAGAGTTTCCCTTGCTCTACCTACACAGCGCCTTTGAGAGAAGGGGAAAACAGTGGCCCTGCTGGCAAACCCCTCCTCCCTTCACAAGTGCTTTTGTGCAGTGCCTGACCTGAGAACCTACAGCTGGCCCTGCCGGCCTTCTTACACCCCTGGGGATTTGCTAAAACTCTGTCTGACTCATCCTTCCCCAAGGGTTCTAGTCTTCCTGGCCTCCTCTCCTGTTCATACACGTCTCTGCTCTCTTCTTCTCAAGTCTGACCTTCCCGAGAAGGGTCCTGTTTATTCTATTCTCTCCACATGCCAGTGACGTTCTGAGGTGGCACTGTATGATCAGCACTAGACTAACTGGGAGGTTGGCAGTTCAAAACCACCCACCACTCTGGGTCAAAGCCGACTTGATGGCACTGTAACAACGAGTCCATCCATCTGCCAAGCCTGTGGCTCCCCCCAGAACCCTGAGAACCTAGGCTGGTCTGACTGTCAGAGACTCCCCAGGCATGGTGGGCAGCGATTCAGAAGCCCACCTGGATGTTGCGCTCGCAGTCCGTCTGCCGGTGTAGCAGCAGCTCACTCTCCAGCAGGAAACGTTTGCCACACTGGTCACAGATCTGCATGCGGCTGTGCGTCACGTTCATGTGTTTCTCCAGGTACCAGCGGTTGTTGAAAACGCGCGGGCATTTCTGGCAAGGGTGGTGCTGCTTCTCCTCCAGCTTCACCTTGGCCCCCAGCCCATCGGTGGCAGGTGGCCCCCGGGCAGAGGCTGGGGCTGCTCCTGGGGGTGGCTTTGACCGCTTCCCACGCCGCTGCCCAGCCTCCTCAGGCTCAGGGGTGCCCCGGCGCCGGGCATTCTCCCGGGACCTTGTGGCCATGCGACTGTGGGCAGGGCCATCCACCTGGCTGCCCCGGTGCCCCCCGGGCCCTGCCGGCACTTGTCTGCTTCCAGCCTCCCCCTCCTCCTCCTCATCTTCCTCCTCCTCAGAGCTTTCTTGATCCTGGTCACTGTGCCCTTCCTCTTCCTCCTCCTCCTCCTGCTCACTGTGCCCTTCCTCCTCTTCATCTTCTTCCTCTCCTTGACTGCCACCCTCCTCTTCCTCCTCCTCTTCCCCTCCACTGCCGCCACCCTCTTCCTCTTCCTCCTCCTCCTCCTCCTCCTCCTCCTCCGAGTGTCTCTGTAGCCCACCCTCCCGGCCCAGCATCATGGTAGCTGGGCTAGTCCCTGCACCTGGCTTCCCCTCGGGCCCTGTGGACACGTGCAGTGTCTGGTTGTTGAGATTCACCTCGACAATGATCTGGGACTGCTCCCGGGGGCCATAGGTGCCAGAGTCCCCAAGCTCTTCCTCCAGCTCCTCCCCACCCTCCAGCTTGCACAAGGGGGCCTGGGGCCCGCTGGCCTCCTCCACACTGCCCTCCTTCTCCTCCTTGAAGAAGGGCTGCGCTGACCCCAGGGCAGTGGGAACTGTGCCACCCGCGGCCCCTGCCCCGTCCTCCACACGCACCGAGTAGGGGTCAGGGCCCTCTCGGGCGTAGATCTTGGGCAGGCCCGGGGCGTCGGCCTCCTGCTTGATGTCGCAGTAGTAGGGTGATGCAGTTGGAGTGCTGCCGGCCGCCGCTTGTGCCAGAGCCACAGTGCCGGGGGCCGGTGGGCCGAGGGAACGGGCGTCCAGCAGCTCCTGGCAGGACGTGGCAATGTCAGCCATCTGCAGCAACGAGGCCGCACTGAGCACCTCGTGGACGTTGGTCGCGTTGACCAGCAGCTTGGACGTGTAGATGAAGTTGAGGATCTGCTGCAAGCCGCCAGGTGCCAACGCCTCCAGGGACAGCTCCACACGCTGAAGCTGCTTGTTCTGGGTGAAGAGCGAGTGGAAGAACTGACTGTATGCAGCCAGTACACCCTTGTGTGCCGGAAAGACACTGCGCTGAGGTACCAGCACCAGGTCCACGTCGCACAGGTCAGGCTGAAAGAGGCGCTGCTCGTTCAGGCGGCCCATCAAGCAGGCAAAATGCAGCGCCACGTCCTCCACCAGCGAGAACTCAGCCGCTGGTGAGTCGGTCGTCTTCTCAACCAGCAACTGTAGGGGGGAGGACACCGAGAAGGGTCAGGGCCAGCTGGGCCCCTGCCCACCCCCTGCGGCCCACCCATCCCCCAGCGGCGCCCACCATCGGGGGGCAGCCCATCAGTACTGCTCCACGAACAGAAGAAGAGCTGAAGTTCCAGCAAGGAAGTGGGGGAGCGGGAGCCAGGCCCGTCAGCCTCCCCGCGGAGCTCAGACGCTGACCGGCACCTCCTGAGGCTGAAGATCAGCTCCTCCACTAGTCAGTTAACTTTTCTGGGCCTCCAGCTCTTCCCCTGTGAAATGGGAAAAGTTATCCCAGGAAGGGAGAGGGAAAGGCAAGAGAAAAGGAGAGGAAAGAGAAAGAAGGTAGGCACCAGGGTAACCAACCATCCCCGGTTTGCCCAGGACTGAGAGGCTTCCCGGGATGCAAGGTTTTCAGTCCCAAACCCAGGACAGTCCTGGACACAGGATGTGGGAAGTCCTTCAGCATTTCTTGAACTGGGTTCCCACTGTCTGCAGGTCTCCACACACTCACTCACACATTCAAATAAAAACAAGCCTGCCAACTCCAAATACCTCAACACCACAAGTCAGGTGCCCTCGTCCTCAATCACAGCTTGGCCTCTGGCCTACCACATCCTTCACCTCACCAACAACGGGCCTTGAAGCCAAGATCCCGAGGGCCATAGAAGTAGCCACTTTTGTGACATGCTCTGGTCCTGCTGCCCTGCCTGAGAAGGTCTTCATCATTTGTCCGGGGTTTGGATTTCCTTCCCCCACCCATAGCCACAGGACTGGCTCTGAGCAGCCCTGTCTTGCAGATGGAGTTCTGTGAGGGACACAGCTGTTGTCTGGCCCCATGCTCAAAGGCAGGAGGTTCAAGGGTCCTGTTCAGACCCTTTCTCATCAGAGCTCTGGGATAGATCCATTTTGGGGACTATACCACTAGGGGCCTCTGGGTCTTCAGGGAGGTCCCCCAAAGTCTGATGAGTCAGACTATCAGCCCCTTGGGCCACACCCAGCCTCTGCAAATTGCTAAGAATAGGGGTCAGTCACCTCAATCACCCCTGGGTCCACCACAACCTCTTCCTAAAAGTGGGCCCTGAAGACAGGCAGCCTGCTGTGTCCCCTGTACGGGCCTGACAGTAGATAGTTATTATAACTACCTGTCCAAACCTACTGGCTCTATGTTCTGTTCCTCCTCAGCATCCTACACCTAAGGGGTACCTTGCCTCACCCGCACAAATTCATTGGTCCCCATCTTGCCTCAGTCTCCCTAGAGGTCCTGGGATATGCCCCCAGCCTCTGAGCCAGTCCTTCCAGCACCCAAGCAGCAAGTGAGTGGGCCCAGGCTGGGTGGCTGTGGTGAGTGGTAGTGTGTCCCAGCTCACCACATCAGCTACCTGGACCTCATGACAAGCCTGAAGAACCACTAAAGGTTACCTGCTCCCACACCTGCCCTAGGCCCTGCCCTCCACACCAGATGGCCATCGACGCCATCTTCCTTGAGTTCTTTCCCCATGCCCCTCCTGCCAGATCCCACCTCAAAAAGGTTCCCTCTGCCCCCTCATCCAGGGCTGTCGGCCTGTCCAGGCCTGGCCAATACAATGGGGATGTGATACCAGGCTCCTCCCATCTTCCTTCTCTGACTCATTCTGATTCATCCTGGGGACCAACCTCTATTAAAAAGATGGGTAAACTGAGGCTCAAAGTAGGAGGCCTCCCCTGCCTCCCTCCAAGGAGCAGCAGCAGGCTCATTCCCCGGAACCAAACACTACTTCACATGGCTGGATTTCTTGGCCTTTAATGACCATTGCGCAGAGAGGGTCGCTATGAGTCAGAACCCACTCGATGGCACTTAACAACATCAGAAAGTGTCTAGGGATCGTCCCATCTGAGGTAGAGTAGCTGGGCTTCCAGTCCCACCATTATCCCCCATGACCTCCAGTCTCCTCTCCAGTCATGGCTACCACCATGTCAGTGAGGGGTCAGGTTCAACTTGGGGTGTAACAGGAGCTCCTTGGGGCTTCCAAACTCACTGCAGTCAAGTCATTCCAACTCACAGTGACTCTACATGACAGAGTAGAGCTAACTGCCCCAGAGTTTCCAAAGCTGTAAATCTTTACAAAAGTAGATAGCCGACTCTTTCTCCCACAGAGTGGCTGGTGGGTTTAAACCTTTCAGATAGCAAGAGGGTGCTTAATAATTATACCACCAGGGCTCCTTGGAGTCTCCGGGGTCAGAAAATGGCAGGACAAGTGACCTGGATAGAGGCTTGCCAAAGTCAGGCCTGTCAGGAAAGCCCACTTCCAGGTCCCCTTCATGAAACACTTTCCAACTCCCAGCTAAGCCTATTCTGGGGAGAGGGCAGAGCCCAAAGCCTACTTGATGCCTGCTGCAGGCTCTCTAGCCTCAGAGAAGCAGAAGGGGCTAACCTGGGGGACAATGTTACCCTAAAGTCTCCTTTCCCAAGGCAGAACACCCAGGATAAGCCAGCACCATCTTTGGCCCTTGGAAGGGGCCAGAGAACTCCCAGGTCATGCACCTGGCTGAACCTCGGTGACAGGTCACACGTATGCTGCCTGCATCCATAACTGGCAGCCTCACCCAGGGCACAGCTATCCCTTGCCTGGCCCCTCCTGGACAATGTCCATCAGCTGTGCCAGCTCCTTACAGCTGTAAATGGCCTTCCCCATCAAGCTCTGCAGGCTGAAGCCACACCTTCTCCCTGCCCCTGGGGCCATGTCACCCCAGTCTAGCTAAGATTCAGGACCAAGGTGGTGGGGAGACACATTGCCCAGGAGTCCTGGTGTGGCGCTACTGTAGGATCAGCACTAGACTGCAAACCACAAGGTCGACAGTTCAAACCACCAGTTACTCCTCAGAAACCCTATACAGGGTCACTATGAGTCAGAAGTGACTCAACTGAACTTCTTCTCATCTCTCTCCTGCCCTCAAATGCGCTACCCCAAGTAAGACGCGCAATGGGCACGAAGGCTGCAAAGTCATTTATACAAGGATACCTTGCCTCACCTACAAAAAGCCACTGGCTCCCCCATCCTGCCTCAGCCTCTTCCTGGAGGCCCCGGATCAAACCCCCAGGTCTTCCATCTGAGCCCCACCCCCATCCACTACACCTAGCCTTCCAGTGCTCGCGGCAGCAGTGGGTGGGCCCTGACTGGGCTAGGGGCTCAAGCCCAAGACCTCCACGCTCCTCCTCTTGCAGAGGTGTCTATGCTCATAAGCACCCACCCTACTCAGCCCCGGGAAAGAGGCCCAGAGAGGGCGGGAGACCAGTCCAAGGTCACACAGGAGTGTGGCCCAGAGATGCAGCCGCTCTCCCATCCCTGTCCCGGGCTGCCCCACGCCCCACACAAGGCAGTGCCAACGCCCACGTGGCTAGTGACCTGGGCGGGAATCCGACACCCTCCCCACACACACACACACACACACACACACACACACACGCACACACACACTCCCTGCATCGCCCCTAACACCCAGCCTGAGGGCGGCGCCATCCTGGGAGCAGAGAAGCACCCTCTTGCCCGTGTCTAACAAGACTTCTGCCTTCTCCGCTGGCACCCCCACCCCAGGAATTTAACCCCCTTTTTGCCGAGAGCCTGGCAATAGCGCCGCATTCTTGGCCTGCGGGGACCCAGGAGATGGGGGCGGGGAGACTAGGGGAAGGGGAGGATCCCTCCACCCTAAGCCCTGGGGCTGTGCTCTCCCGAGGGCACTGCGGGCAGGTGGGCGGATAAGCGGGGGGACAGGCAGGGCCCTGCGTACCATGGTGCCGTAGTGCTGGGGCCTCACAGGGCCCCTCGGAATCGCGCTGCCCCCGGCGGCCGGGCCGGGGCCGCTCCATGAAGCGCCGCGCTGGGGGCCGCCCCCGCGCAGGGCCCCACGACCATGGCCCCCGGG